GCACCTTTTTCTTATCACTAATACTCCCTGACTTTTTTATAGAATTCTCTGCAGCTTCCATTATTATCTCTGAGATACTTGCATTTACTTCATTTATATGCTTATTAAAATCTACCTTATCTAAATAAATTTCACTCAAATATCTAAACTTACTCCAATCAGCCTTATTAAAGTTAAATCTTTCCCCTCTATTTTTATATTTATTTCCAATTATTCCTACCCTTATAGTTATAGGATAATGATCACTACCTATTGTAGTTTCCTTGTCAACCGACCACTCACAGATACCAGCTATATCATTGATACAATTGTTAGATCAATAGTTGATTCCATCCCCGTTCTTATATTGATTCTTGTTCCCCTTCTCTCATTAATACAAACTAAATGTTTCATTTCCATCACTTCTTCTATAACCTGCCCATTTTTATCATCACTATTACCCCACAGTGAACTATTAGCATTGAAATCCCCACACCAAATTACTCTCCCCTCCAAATACTCTACTAATTCCACCATTATTTCAGCAAATAACGACTTACATGGATTATAGAAATTTATTATTTTAAATTTACCTCCCTGTTCCCATGTTTCAATTATTATGAAATCTAGTTCTTTCCCTTTTCCTAAGACCCGATATTGTATCCCTCGTTTTATAAATATTCCGCAACCACCTCCTCCTCCCTCTTCTCGATCTCTTCTTATACTAACATATCCCCTAATAACAAAATCCAATGTTGGCTTTAACCAAGTTTCCTGCACACATATAATATCTGGTTGGACTGGACTTCAAGCTCATCGATATATCCTTTAAATTCCTGTCCGTTAGCTATCAGGCTCCTAGCGTTCCATTGAAGTATTAGCATAAACTACTTTCACCTGCTGCTCCCGACTTCTTGTCCACCTCTAACTTTTTATTTATTTCTTCCCATGTTCCTTCCTTAAATCCCAAGAATTTTTCGGCTCCTTTCACTATTATTTTAATCTTCTCGGTTTTGTTCTTAGCTTGATCAGTACAGTTAATAACATATGCTATGAATAAAACTAGATTTTCCACTGAGTAAGTTATCTTATCTTCAGGTATTATTTTAGTTTGCTGTTTTGTTTGGCTTCCCTTTTGCTCGATCCCTCTTTTTTCCTGTTCCCTCACACTTTTTACAGCTTCTGCATAGCTAATATTTTTAGTTGTTTTTATCTGCACAACTTCTTTAGCCTCTTCCTTACCTCCCATCCTCCGTATGTGACCCTATGATTTCCCCCACAGTTACAACATTTCTCTTCTACATCTTCCTTACATTCTTCAAATTTATGGTCTTCCCCACATTTTGGACATCTCTGCTTTCCTTTACATACTGCCGCAATGTGCCCGTACCTTTGGCATTTATAGCACCGAAGTGGTGGAGGTGTATAAGGTCTGACTTGGAAGCTTATATATCCTATTTTTATATTCATTGGCAGCTCTTTTTCCTCAAACTCCACCAGAACTGACATACTCCCCACTCTCTCACCATCCACAGTTCTTGACAGCCTTTTCATATTGAACACCTTTGCTCCAACTACATTTTTCTTAAGTTTTTCTAAATCCTCATCTAGTGGGATCCCATACATCTCCCCTCTAGTATTTTTGTTTTCTCCCAACATTTTTTTCTCCAGCACCACTCTTTTACATGTTTTCCACATTGAAAGCCTTACTCTTTTGTTCTATATCCTTACATTCTATCAAAAGACTTCCATCTCTCAAGATCTTCACCATTTCAACGTCTCCTATTTTCTTTTTAATTTCCCTTGACACCCCAATTGGGCTGATTTTTTCCTGACCTTCCTCGCTCTTAAGTTTCAGAATTACTTTAAATTTCTCATCCACAACTTTTCTCCTAACTACCCTCTCTTCCTCTGAACTGCTTTCTTCTAGATCCCGTTTACTTCCTTGAACATCTCTACTTCCCTTACCGTCACCTACTTTGAATCCTCCTCGTCCTCTCCCTCTTCCCACTAGCGTCCACCCTTCGCATTCCCCTTCTTCTTCATTACTTATCTCCATTTCCATCCGAACCATTCACACACCAGTTTATGCCAATTACCGCCTTTTCCACACTCCAAGTTTGGTGTAATTTTGA